AACGAATCAAAAATAGATTAGGTGGGAATACTATTACCTTTTCTACTCCTAGATGCCCCCATGTCTTCTTAAAGTAGGCATTCATCACTATGTATGGTGGGTTTGCTCTGAGTACTGTTGACTCCCGATACTCTGCTTCCTCTTGCACCTTCTGAGGTTGGATCTTGACGACTGAAATCCCATTCATAACTTTCGATGGCAAGACCCTCATTTAGTTCACATCAAATTTATCTCAAGCAGTTGCCCGGTCTACTATCTCTACATCCTCATTCTAAGTCAATTTGTTTTTCCCCGACAATTTACCTTGCTCGGTTTTCTTTACTTGACTCCTGGATTGAATTCAGCCACCAATTTGAGTTTTTCCCAATTTTCTTTGGGCTTGGAGTCTTAGTCTCTCCATATGCTATTTGTTTTTCTTCTCTATTTCAAATTCGTCTTGTCACCTTGTTGAGCCATCGTTTCTGCTTCTTTTTCTCCATTGATTTATGCTTTCGGCACTGGTTTCCTTCCCTGAGTCATGGGGGGGAGCTGTTAGCGGTGGGATATCATGAGTCGAGGGAGGGGGAAAGAGAGAGAGAGAGAGAAAAAAAAAAGAAAAAGTATGATGCTAAATAGTTAATATGTTTGCGAGATATTTTTCTTCTCTTTTTCTTATTAATAAAGATCACCGAAAAAAAGCTAGTTATAAATGAAGAAAGAGAAAAAGCAAAATAATTAATATATTGAGGTTTTTTATCCCCTTTATGAAAACGATCTTTTATTAAAGATAACCGAAAAAGATTCAGTTCTAAATGAGGAAAAATATTTTAAAAAGAAATTTTATATTATTTTGATCACATCATATGTTGTAAAAACATTAGAAACATTGCTAGCATTTATAAATGCTAAATTTTTTTTAGGAGAAAAGGATTTACCGTAGGAAGCAGAACCTAATCATGTATCGAATTAAAGTATCAAAATATACGAAAAAGTATATTAAAAAGGGCATTGGATCCTTTGTGCCACTTTCGTGTGACATTTCATGTTGCACAATTCAATTATTCTTTATAAATTATATAATTTGTGTTTGTATATATACCATAAACACATATTCTCGACGTAGACTATTTCCATTCTCTTATTTTATTTTTTGTATGAATGTTTCATTTTTAATAATTTTTTTCTTATTTTTATTGAATTTTTTAACTCTGAAAATTCAAAAAAATAGACCCTAACCCGAAAAATGAACCCTTATTTTTAAAATATAAAACATCATTGTAATTTTTACTCTTTACAACTAACTGTGGTTTAACTAAGATGGCTATTCCCAAAGCAGTAAATATTCAATTGTAGAGTTTCTTCCCTAGCACGCATAGTTTTAAATTGAATAAAAAATATATCAGGTGGCAATGGTATTACCTTTTCCACTCCTAGATGCCCCATGTCTTCCTAAAGTAGGCATTCATCATTCTATATGGCGGGTTTGCTCCGAGTACTATTGACACCTGATAGTCTACTTCCTCTTGTACCTTTTGAGGTTGGATCTTGATGACTGAAATGCCATTCACAACTTTCGATGGCACGAATTCAAGCTTGGCCCTAGACTTTCTCATTTGGTTCACATCAAATATATCTCAAGTAGTTGCCCAATCTACTATCTCTACATCCTCATCTCAAGTCAATTTGTTTTTCCCCGACAATTGACCTTGCTCGGTTTTCTTCCCGCGCTGGTTTCCTTTCCCGAACCATGGGAGGGGCTCGTTAGCGGTGAGCTATCATACGCCGAGGGAGGGGGAAAGAGAGACATAGAGAGAAAAAAAAAGCATGATGCTAAATAGTTAATACGTTTGTGAAATATTTGTTTTCTCTAATTTTTTTTATTAATAAAGATCACTGAAAAAAGTCTAGTTATACATGAAGAACGAGAAAAGGCAAAATAAATAATATGTCTAGATTTTTTATCTTCTTTAAGAAAACGATCTTTCATTAAAGATCACCAATAAAGATTCAGTTCTAAATGAGAAAAAATGTCTAAAAAGAACTCTTGCATTATTTTGATAACATCATATGTTGTAAAGAAAAATTAGCAACACTGCTAGCATTTATAAATGCTAAATTTTTTTAGGAGAAAAGGGTTTACCGTATGAAGCAGGACCTGATCATGTATCGAATTAAAAAATATCAAAGTATACGAAAAAAAAAGTACATAAAAAAAGGGCATTAGATTCTCTGTGCCACTTTCGTATGACACTACCTATCGCACAATTCAATTATTCTTTATAAATTATATATTTTGTGTTTGTATATATACCATAAACACGTATTCTCGATGTAGACTATTGTCATTTTGTTATTTTATTTTTTGTATCAATGTTTCATTTTTAATAATTTTTTTCTATCTTTATTGAATTTTTTAATTATGAAAATTAAAATAAGTAGACCCTAACCCGAAAAAAATGAACCTTTATTTCTAAAATATACAACTTCTAAAGTGTTTGTGAATGATATAAATATCGACCCAAATGATCAAATTTATAAAAAAAATTATTAAAAAGTACAACAGAGAGTGTTGCACGAAAATAGCACAGATGATCCTGTACCATTAAAAAGGAACTTAGGTAGATGCAAGTGACATTATACAGTGTTATTTATGCTACAAGAACTTGGAATGATACACGTAGGGGTGTTCAACCGGCCGGATAACCAGTTTACTGGTTAATCGGTTTCGGTTAATACCGGTTTTGTCAATTTTGAATAAAAATGATTAAACAACTAATTAAGTATTCGGTTTTACAATTTCAGTTTATCGGTTTTCGGTTTAATTACTAATTTTTACCGGTTTAATCGAAACTATTTTTTAGACAAAATATAATTGATGTTTTCTTAAATTTCTTAACTTTGAGTTTCTAATTTGCATAGTTCATATTATACTTTTAGACCCATCAAATAATAAAAATCTTTTTTAAACTCTCAATTTAAAATAAAACAATCAAACCTTTTCTTTTTATAACTATCCATCCAACCAAAAAGCATTTTATTACAACAAAATTTTCTAGTGAAATAATGTAACAAAATAGAAAAGATTAATGATATAGAAATATGAGACAAATATATAATTTATCAATTATAATTACTATAATCGTTTATTCGGTTTAACCGACAAAGGTATAAGCAAAATCGAAAACCGAACTAATTAACCGGTGAAAAACCGTTTAACCGAGACCTATTAACCGATTAATCGATTGTTCGGTTAATCGGTTTGGTTTTATGTCAGTTTTTGGTTCGGTTAATCGGTGTCGGGTTTTTTGGGCACCTAACCAGGCTATTAATGTTGCAATTTTATATGAGTTCTCCCATCAGTTTCTTAACATGACTCGCCCTTTCAAAAACACATAATCATCATGACTAATCACAATCAACAATCATCCCGGTCAAAAGCAAACCAAGAATTCGAAGAGAAATTTAATCACCCAACAGCAAGTTATGGTCAAAAGAACCATAAGAAATTCAAACAATGCCGGAGTAGCATTGGCGAAGCCGATTATGATTGAGAAGATGGGCGGCGGGCAAAACTGCGTGTTCTCGTTGTTGTCAATCAATATTATTCTGAGCTTTATCGCAGCAGGGACCTCAAGACCCACCAAAGGGCAGGTCCTCTGTTTACTCAAGTCCAAATCCGTTGAGGAACTCAATTCTTTGGCCTATGAACTCGTCAATGATGTTTTAGTCGATGGCGGTAGCATTGTAGGCCCTCGCTTGTCCTTTGTTAACGGAGCCTGGATCGATCAATCTCTTTCTTTTAAGCTTGGATTCAAGAATGTTTTCGACAATATTTATAAAGCTTGTTCCGCTCAAATTGATCTTGAATTGAGAAATTGCAAAAATAATCAACCATGAAGTTCTTTTTTTTAATGAAAAATTCCATTTTCTCTCGTAAACTATTGTTTATATGTACAGAAAAGGTATTTTGTTTATCAGTTATTAGCAAATATGATGACTAAAAATAATAATTTATTATACAGTTTGAATGAATATCTTTGAAAAATTAAAAATCAAGCTTCATAACCTTTAAAAAACCTTAATAATAAGAAATTTTAATATGTACTACAATTAAGTAATTTCTGGTTTATTAGTAGATTTTTTCTTTTAAACAAAATCCAGTAAAGATCTCAGCTCTCTCTTTGTCGCCTCTCTTCCCCTTAAACCCTAGAAACTAAAATCAACTTTTTCCACATCTTTTCACCACAGAAGGACGGGGAAAATAATTTTTTTTCAGATCTTTTTAACTTTTTATAGTGTTTCAATTTATTTTCAATAAAAATGGGATCATAGTTGTAGGTTTTGATCTACAGTATGGCGGCGGTATCTTTGTTGATGTTTGCTAGTATGACAGCGTCATCTTTATTGATGTCTACTAGTATGGCAGCGGATTCCTTAAGGATATTTGCTATATGACGTTGGTTTTACCAATGAAGTTTACAATTATGGCGGCGATGGATTCATTGAAGGGGTTCGTCGGTTTGGTAAGCATGGACAAAGAAGATTCAGTCATAATAGATCTAATTATTAGGTCTATGTTTTGTGAGTTTTAACCGATGGTTAGTGTTGTATCCTTGATCAGATTTCAGATTTTGCACGTGGTACAACCATTATTTTATGAAAAACATAATAATGGCATTATGGCCGATTGTAAGTTGTGTGTTTCTGACTGTATCTTGTTTTTGTCAATTGTTGCTGGACTAGTAAATTAATGAATTTATCTTTTATTTCAAAAACAACGTAGATTTTTTCTTTTCCTGTTTGTTGTAGAATATATACGTCCTAATATTGACTATTCCTATTTGAATTTAGGTTATAAGATATGTGCATTATGTAAAGGACCACGAGATCCAGTTCAATCATCTAATTAGATTTTTATATCCTATATAAAAAATATTAGGATTAGGATAGGATTAATTAATTCAGATTTCATCATAGAAATTGCCTTCATTGTTGAAAAATCTGGGCCAAGCCCATACAACCCGAACCATACCAAAGGTCAAAATTGTCCGAAAGTGTAAAACCTTCCAATAATTGGGAGATTCCATTCTACACGAACCACGCTCGTCTCCTCCGATTTTACTTTTCGCTCTCTTTTCAAAAAACCCAAGTACAATAAATAAAACAAATCCGCCGTTCACCGGAATCCGGTAGTCACGTAGTTAGGTTAGTTTCCCTTCTTATCGCCGTCTTTGATTCGCAACCGGTTTAGGGTTTCCGTTTGTTTTCTTGATGAAACCCTGAAGGCAAGAAAGGGGAAATTTTTTTTGGTAAATTACTGTACAGCAGCTTTAATCAATGTTTACCCCTCAAAAGAATTCTTGGTCGGCGTTGTCGCTTACACCTAGAGGAGATGCCGCAACTTCCGCAAGAAGCGGTTTGGGTGGCAGAATGTCGGCATCAAACCCTAAAAATAATTTGGGGAAAGGGAAGGCCGTGGCGTATTTTGATGGCCCGCCTCCGCCGCCTGTGTGTTTGTTGAGTGAAAATGGGGAGATGGATGACGGCGATGGCGAAAACATGGAAGATTGGAGGAGGTTTAAAGAAGCTGGATTGTTGGACGAAGTTTCGCTGGAGAGGCGCGATAAAGCCGCTTTACTTGAGAGAGTCTCCAAGCTCGAAAATGAGGTTAACTCACTTCTTGATCATTATTGGTTTCTTATTTCATTATCTTTGGAACTATAATGCAAGGCAATTATAATGCAGTTCAAGTGAGAAAGTTGATTCTTTTGTATCTATTTTTTTGTTGTTAAAACTGATGAATTTAACTTAATTCATCTTGCTAATTGTAGCTCTTTTAGGTATTTGGTTTGGAAGACAACTTTTACCAAGAAAGATTTATAGGATTTTCTTTAGAACTAAGACCCAACGGGTGTTATAGGCTTACAAGCATTACCGGTCGCTATACTTTCTACCTTTAAGTTTTGTTGATTTGATTGTCATCAAGACTCTCATCTATACCCTGTCACTGTATGCACTGTTGTTCTGTTGTTGTTAGTGGAAAGATTGAGTCTATGTATCTTACTAGTATGAATATCGTTTTTATGGACTGGGTGATTAATTTTATTTTTATTTTTTGAACAGTTACTTGACTATCAGCATTGTATGGGACTACTTTTGATCGAGAAGAAGGAATGGACAGCTAAGTTTGATGAACTCAGAGAATCTCTTGCAGAAGGTGAGGAAGAACTAAAACGCGAGCGAGCAGCGCATCTGATTGCTCTTGCTGAAGCTGAGAAGCGAGAAGATAATCTGAGAAAAGCATTAAATACAGAAAAGCAATGCGTCGCTGATGTAAGTGCTCCATTTTATTTTCTCATGCTTGCGTTTGTTATAGATGAAGTATTTGAAGTATGATATGTTTGACTTACTTCAATTAGGTTTTTTGATGTGTGTCGATTTTTCTGCCCTTTTTTTGGTATTATTTTCAACTGCCAGTGAGGCCACTCACTAGTCGAGAAATGAAAGACCATAGTGTAGTGAAGTGTCCGTTAGTTTCCAAGGCAGGCTTATCTTTTTCTCTCAAATTGTGTTGTACCATAAGGATTTGTTTATAGCCCCCTGCCTCAGGTAGGACATTGAAGATTTGGTTGCTTTTTAATCTTTCCCAATGCTTTAAAATGCAGTTGGAGAAGGCTTTACGAGAAAGTCGTGTAGAGTATGACCAGATCAAGCTTAATTTGGGCTCAAAGCTTTCTGATGCTAATGCGTTGATGTCTGAAGCTAACAAGAAGTATTTTGAAGTGGAGGAGAAATGGACTGCAGCTGATGCAAAACTTACTGAGGCAAGCCGAAAGGCTTTGGAATTGGATAAGAAACTTCTTGAAATTGAGACTCGGGAAAGTGTGCTCAGAAAGCAGCGGATGTCTTTGAAGGCAGAGTATGTTCATTAGGCTGTGAGGTCTTTAATTTAATTTTATTTTTTTGAATCCACATTTTTGGTTTATGTTTATATTAATTGTTATTGTTGTCTCAGGCAAGAAGCACATGAAGCTAAAATTTCAAAGCATAAGGAAGATATGAGGGAGTGGGAAAAAAAGTTGCAAGAAACAGAAGAGAGACAGTGTGAAGGGCGGAGGTCACTTAATGAGAAAGAAGAAAGAGCAAATGAATTTGACAAGATTCTTAAGCAGAGGGAGAAGAAACTTGAAGAAGAAGTTGAGAAGATCAATCTTGCCAATTTGGCAGTGAAATCAAAGGAAGAGAATTTAAAAAGGAAACTGGAACTTTTATGTGTGAATGAGGAAGTAAGTTTCCAAAGATACACTTTTCAGGGATAGGAATATAAAAGAATTTTTTTGATTTTTGTTTTATGCGTGTTGAAATAGAATCATAAAAATCTCTTTCTGACTGCAGAAAGCTGAGTCGATGCGGAAGGAACTAGAAGCAAAAGAGAAAGAGTTGAGTAGTTTAGCAGAGAAACTTAACACCAAAGAAAGAGTAAGTTGAAATTCTTCTCCCTGTATTTTCTTTATTGTTTTCTCTTTTTATTTATCTAAATTGAAGATATTATGTTTGTACAATTGTGTTATTTTCATTGGGGAAAGAAAAAGTTTTGACTTTTTAAATTACAGGTGGAAATTCAGAAGCTTCTTGATGAGCAGCGGAGAAATCAGGATCTGGAAAAACGGCAGTTTGAGACTGAATTGGAAAACAGAAGAAAACTGCTTGATGAGGAGTTGAAGGAAAAGGCTGATGCTTTGGATAAGAAGGAAGCCGAAATTTCCCATGAGGAGGAAAAGCTAAGAAAAAGGGAGCTAGCTGTAGAAAGTAAGTCTGACAGAATCAAAGAGAAAGAAAAGGACATTGAAGCAAAGCTTAAAATTTTGAAGGAAAAGGAGAAGTCAATGAAGGACGAGGAGAAGTGTTTGGATTCAATTATGAAAGAAATAGCTTCTGAGAAGGATAGTTTACAAGTCCTCAAACTGGAACTTGAAAAGATGAAAGCTGAAATTAGCCAAAAGCAACTAAAAATTCAAGAAGAAATTGAAAATCTTAGAGTGACAGATGCAGATAGGAGAGAGCATACAAGGCTGCAAAATGAATTGAAAGCAGAAATCGAGAAGTGCATGGTCAAGAAAGAGTTACTCCTGAAAGAGGAGGATGATCTGAAACAAGACAGGAAGAAATTTGAGGAAGAATGGGAGGCTTTGGATGAGAAGAGAGTAGTTGTCATCCATGAGTTGCAGCAGCTTGAAGAAGCAAAAGAAAGGCTTCAAAAGATGCGACACGTGGAAGAGGAGAAATTGCAGAGTGAAAAGATTGCCACCAAGGAGTACATTGAGAGGGAGTTGGAGGCTCTCAACTTGGAGAAGGAATCTTTTGCTGCTAATATGAGACATGAGCAATCTGCATTAACTGAAAGATCCAGGAACGAGCATGATCAACTGCAGCGTGAGTATGAGGCTTTAAGAAGGGATCTAGAGATTAACATGCTGAAAAAGCAAGAGGAAATGGAGAAAACATTGCAGGAGAAAGAGAGAATGTTTGAAGTGGAAAGAGATGCATCACTTAGGAACATCCACGATCAAAAGGAGAAAGTAATGAAGGAAATTGAAGATTTGAGCTCCGAGAGGAACAGAATTAAGAAGGATCGTCATGATATTGCTGTGAACAGAAAGCAACTGGAAGAGCAGCGAATTGAAATGGGGAAGGACAGTAATGAACTTTTCATACTTAGCAAGAAACTGAAGGATCAGCGTGAAAGTTTTATTCAGCAGAGGGGTCGATTTCTTGCATTTATTGAGAGGCTCAAGTACTGTAAAGACTGTGGAGAGATTGCCCAGAGTTATGTTCTTGCTGACCTCCAGTTAGCTGAACTTGAACATAAAGAAATTTCTCCTCTACCAGTGATCGGTGATGAGCTTTTGGAGAAAGTTTCTTCTTATGGAACAACTTTAGGAAGATCAGGTACTGATGTTGATGTCAAGTCTTCAGAATCTGGTGGACGTGTTTCTTGGCTTCGGAAATGCACGTCGAAGATTTTTAAATTTTCACCTACAGGAATTAAGCATTTGGCATCAGAAAGCACTGAGAGAGCAGTGGCTGCAGTGGCTTCTGAGGAAAAAACTGAAGAACCTACTATTGCTGAAAACATAACACCTATTGATTTTGAAGAGGAGCAATCTGTTGGAATTGGTGGATTGGGTGATGAGCAAACAAATGGGGATGGTAGGGATGAGCAAGGTGTAGAGGATTCCCACCAGTCTGAGCAGAGTAGTCGTCTTCAGAAACCTGGGAAGAATTCTACGCGCGGGCCTCGTAGGACAAAGTCTGTTAAAGCAGTTGTTGAAGACGCTGCAAAATTTTTGGGTAAGACCTCAGAATTACCTGCTACAGCTGAAGAGCAGGGAAAGGATGTGCCATATGTTAATAATGAAAGTAGGGCAGAATCAAGTTTTGCCGACAAAGGTGCTAGAAAGAGGGCACGGGCACAAAGTTCTGTTATGACGGGGAATGATCTTGATGCCGAAGGAAGTGAAGGGCAGTCAGAAAGTGTTACAGTAGGTGGTCGCCGGAAGAGAAGGCAAACAACTGCTCCTTCATCAAACACAGGGGAGATGCGTTACAATCTTAGGCGACCTAGAACGTGAGTTCTTAGTTCATGAGATCGCTTTCTAAATTTCCCTCGTTATTTTGTGTATTCGGCAGTCATTATCCCCTAGTTCATTGTCCAGCTCTTCTTCCCTATACATTCTCTTGTTCCTTTCATCCATATAGTCACCCTTGCATAGTGGGATAAAGGCGTGATAATGGCTTAGTTATTGTTATTCTTGTCTCCTTTGAAGCCCTAGTTACTCTAGTTACTCAATGCCGTTGAAGCCCTAGTTTCTCTAGTTACTCAATGGCTTTGAAGCCCTTTCCACTGCCCTAGTTTCACCGTAGCCACCCTTACATATGGTAGGATTTAGATTTGCATACGCTCACCTGCATTACCAAAAATCTAGTTGTTTTACGTCGTTTTAAATTTTGCTATGTTATACTCTTCTTCCTCGTCGATGTTGTTAAATGATTTGTTCCTTTTTTCTGCTTTTTAATGGCCAGTGTAAGCACGGCTGTAGCACCACAGGCTTCCGTTGATAGCAAGAAGAGGACTGAAGCAACTGAAGATGTTGATGGTGCTAGTTTAGAACCAGCACAAAATGCTGAGGTTACATCTAGACCAGTGTTGGAAATCGCGAGTGGCAACCATGATTTCAGACCATTGGTTCAAGTTACATCATATAAACGTGTTGAAACTCAACAAATCTCATCTCACCGTGTTAGGGTAAAAAGACTATGATCATTTGTCCTTAAAAAATTACAGGTTGTCACTATCATAGGTCATCATACAAACATGAGTCTGTATTTTCTCGCTCTTCTGCAGTTTGGAACGCCAGATGATGGTGCAGGGGGTAATGCCAATGCTACGGAAGTTGAAATTGTAGACATCGGTGATAATACGAACTGTGCACCTGAGCACAATGATGAAGATGAGTGTGGAAGTACCTTGCCAGGCGATGAAGAAACTGATGATGCAGACTATGGGGGAGATGATGGCGGGGATGATAATGATGATGGAGGAGATGAAGATTCTCAGCATCCTGGTGAAGTGTCAATTGGAAAGAAAATTTGGAATTTCATGACAACATGATGACTTCCTCGTCTGGTAGTTTTCATTTACCTGAAGGTAGTATTTGGTTTAGAAATCAGTTTAGACACGAGCAAGCTTCCTGTTGATCTGTTGATTTAGAAGTAGGTCTTTTTTCAATCAGGTTCGTAGTGAAGATTAATCTGCTGCATTTAACAGAAAGCCGATTGTAGTTGATCTTCGTATAGATGTCTGTGGAGTTCATATTCTTGTTCCATATTATCTTTGGTCCCGAAATCGTTAATTAGCAATCAAATAAATACTTTACTTCTTTGCAACTTATTGTTGTTCCTGATTAGAGTGATGGGGCCTGGGGGGATGAAAATACTAACATTGCCTGTGTCGTTTCAGCGTTACCAAAAGCGAGAAACAAGCAAAGGCTTAATCACAAGTGTCGTTTATTTCCTTTCTGGAAACAGGACACTTGAACTCTTGTTGGGAAATGTTTGTTTTTGATAATGAAGAAAGGGACTGGTCACCCTGATTAGGTTTGGCCATAAAACTTATAGTGTGGGCTTAAGTAGCTCTTTCCTTGAATTCTAGCCGTCCCCCTTTCTTTCATAATGCAGATTGCAGAAAGAAAAAAAGTGGTCCTAAATTGAATCAGGCAAGAACAGATTGAAAAAAGACGTATGGGGTTGTGGGGGTGGGGTTCTATTTGATGCAATGCAGTGGTCCTAAACTCCTAAACCGTAATAGCAGCTATATAGCTTCCAACATTCATTAATTTCTATTGCAATTATCTTCCTCCTCTGGTCCCTCTTCATCCTTGACACACATCATATTCATCATACCATAATCATAATCAATCTATAGAATTATACTAATCAATATCGATACCAAAATGCTCCTCGCTTCGTACTAATCTTTAGTGTTACCCTTGTTTCATGTTTCAAACCTGTGACCAAACACATTGAAAACAACAACCTTTACTGTTTCGCGAAGCTCGAATCCTATTGAATGTAACTTATTGCAAGATTGTAATTTTATAAAAAAAAAGATCAGCTTCAAACTCAGAAGATTGAGATTGTAGATTGCACTTACATCTACCAGGAATAGTGTCTGGAAGATTAGATGAGCTGTGCGTGTGTGACCACTTTAACTACAAACAAATGTCCTCAGAAATTTTGTACATTTGGTAAGGACCAAATTACTAACACAACTGACTAAAATGCAGTACTCTGAGATTTCGAGCCAATGTCATTGGTTTTGATCATGCGTAACAGTTGTGGGTCTCTTCCATTCTGATTTCTTCTGCATATGGTTTGATATGATGAAAAGCCATTTGGAGTTAGTAAATTTAAAAGTCCAATTTGCTAATTGGCAATTGCTGTAAGTTAAAACCAATGCCTAACACAAAAATTTTCCTGTTTACCTATTCATGATGGACTGAAGACCCAACAAAGAAATGAATTGGCGTTTTGAGTAAAATCAATAGTCATCAAAAGGGTGTTCATAGTTCATACCTTATTTCTGCAACAAAAGTAGAAACATTTGGGATGGTACTTTTTGCCGACAAGTTCTTCACATGGATTTGGTAGGGAAATTTTTTTTTTTTTTGATTGATGTGATATTCTAAAAATCCTGAGGTGGCTACCGAAACCAGTGTCAAAAGGATAATCCAAAAGGAATAGTGTGAAAAATGCACCCTGACTTTTCATTTCCTAATGCTAAAGAAACTGTTCAAATCGTCCAGTGGACTAACATTGAAGAAGTTTCTTTTGACATATCATATATAAGACCTGGATGTAAGCAAAAGAATGAAAGCACATTTTGCAGATACCATTAATTTTTTTTTTCTTCCTTTCTGATAATATTTTCCCCGTTTTCCAAAGTCTTTTTTTTGAGTCACACTTTTGTCTTTAGGCTCTCAACTTCTGGTTCAAAAATTTCAGATTTCAGAGGTGCTGTTAAAATACCTGCAGATTGAAAGAGATAACAGGCAGCCCACCTGCACTCCAAAAAAAACTTTGCTTTGTCTTGCATGCATTTACATGAAATCTTTCTCTCTCTCTTTCTCTACCTCCATTTTCTGCATGCAAAATGGTCCCCTTTTGCTCAAAAGCCCCTTATGATCTTTGATCTTTCCTATCCTTTCCTTTCAAAGACATTCAGGCAATAAATGATAAAATCATCCCCAACTGCCAAAAAGCCCACATAATATAACTACAAAACACATCTGTTTATTTCAATATTTTTTGTAATTCAATGGACAATGATGTCGTCTATTAATTGTTATTTTGGAATCCCAAATCATTTTTCAAATAAAGTGATTAATAATGACTTTTTTCCCTGTAAAGGCTATATAGTGTATAAATTGCATAGATCCTGTTAAGTCCTCTGTTTTTTTGTCCTCCCTCCCCACTTCATTTACCTATGTTGCAGAGATTATTATTATTATTGACATAATGTAATTACTTTTGAAGCATTGAGAAATGTGCTCTAACGCTCTGTAGACTACAGCCTAGACTTATGTGTTCTGTTTCCCTTCACTTTCTCTTTAAATTTCCTTCTGTTTTTTGTTTTGTTTTGCCCTTATAAAAGTGGGGAAGAAGACTGCTTAAAGCTTGTGACTTTGGTTTGGTTCTCTGGTTCTTCATAGTTGAAAATACCCTTTTGAGCTCAACGAATTTGAAGGTTGCCCGGATACAGTTTCTGTCGGATTTTGCTCTTAAGAAAGTTTACATCTTCAGTTGCTTCCATGCAGTCTTTTAAGGTGTGAAAAAAAAAAAAAAAAGCTTTTGTTCTTCCACTTTGGTTGAAGCCTTTTCCTCAAAGAGAAGCTATGAAGGTTTTCATGATAGCTCTTGTGTTGGTGTTTTATTTGAGTACTGTGTGCAATGGAGAATCTGAGAGTGTAGCAGCTCCAATGGCGAAAGCTGAGCAAGAAACTCTGTACTCAACCATTCAGAGCTTTGTCGGCAAATGGTGGAATGGTTCTGATCTCTATCCTGATCCTTGTGGCTGGACTCCAATACAGGTAATTTTTTACCTATCAAGGTCATTTCTTTAACAGAAAACTTCAACTTTTCTGGTTCAATTTTGTTTTTTCCCCTGCTTTTGTGCTTTGAATAAGTCTTTCATGCATCACCCTTCATTTTGGTTTAAGTTAAAGAAACTACAAAATGATAAGATTTTAATCATTTCTTGAAGAAAGCCATTTGAAAGTATGAACATTTACTGTGCAGTATGAGATTGAATTCATCTTCCAATCTATAAGGCAAATATACCAAATTGAATATGACTTTTTAAGTTAGTTCTATTTGTCAACAAGGGGGGTATTATAACAGTGATATCTGAGGTTTTTTTGGTCCTGTATTTATGATATATGCCCTTTTACTGTTTTGATCTACAGGGTGTTTCTTGTGACCTCTCTTCTGATGGCTTGTGGTATGTAACTTCCCTGAACATTGGACCTGTTCAAGACAACTCACTAAACTGTGCTCCAAAGGTTGAGTTTAGCCCACGTTTATTTGATCTAAAACACCTTCAATCCCTGTCATTCTTCAACTGCTTTGTGTCATCCCATCATCCAGTTACAATCCCAACTGATAAATGGGAAGCTCTGGCCAACACATTGGAGTCCTTGGAGCTCCGGTCTAACCCCGGCCTTGTCGGTTCGATTCCGGCCATCTTTGGAGGCTTCAAACATCTTCAGTCCCTGGTGCTAATTGAAAATGGACTCAGAGGTGAAATTCCTATCAGCATTGGCAGTTTATCAAACTTGAAGAGGCTAGTCCTCTCTGACAATCGGTTGACAGGGAAAATCCCTGATAGTTTGGGAAGCCTGAATGGTCTTCTAATCCTGGATTTGAGCCGGAATTCATTGTCTGGTCCATTGCCTTCAAGTTTAGGGGCATTGGTTTCTCTGCTGAAGCTGGATTTAAGCTATAATAACTTGACGGGAAACATTGAGGGAGGACTGGGAAATCTGAAGGATCTGACACTCCTAGATCTTAGTCATAACAAGTTTTCAGGTGGATTGACTAAATCACTTGGGGAAATGAGTTCCCTGGAAGAGTTAGTCTTGTCAAGCAATCCCATTGGTGGGGATCTCATGAGCTTTGATTGGAAGAATCTGAGAGGCCTAATGGTTTTGGATGTTTCCAACATGAATTTGACAGGTGGGATTCCAAACTCCATATCAGAACTCAAGAGATTGAGATATCTAGGTCTGAATGACAACAATCTAGCAGGGGAGATTCCGCTAGAAATTGCAAGTTTACCAAACATAAGTGCAGTTTACCTAAATGGAAACAATCTGACAGGTGAGCTTAAATTCTCTGAATGGTTTTACGGGAAAATGGGAAGGAGATTTGGGGCTTGGAACAACACCAACCTTTGCTACCCAAATGGGTTGATGCCAACAAGCCATGTTCCTTTTGGGGTAAAACCATGTCAGCAAGAAGAAAAGATTACAACTTTACATGAAAATGTCGAGCTTGGTGGAGTTTCCATGGCTTCTTTGGGAGTTTCAAATTATGCTAATTATGGCTCACTGGGCCACATAGTTCTGATGGAGATCTTTATGGTGCTGGTCATCTTGGATTCTTATTATGTCCCCAAGTTTACTTGGTGGTAATTAAAGATGGTACTAGTAGAAATCATTAGGGCTTTTGTTTTGGGAAATTGGTTCTTAGATGCAGTGGTAAATATTTTCGTTTGATTACTACATCATTTCGCCGTTTCCTTTTTGTTTTGGAAATAGAAATTGGTGCTCTCCAATGCAATGAAATATATTAATGCAATGCTTTTGTAATTATATTTTCAGTAAGCTAACAGTATATTAGTACATTACATCTATAAAATTCTAGGTGTAGTTTGAATCGATATTTTTTTAATTTTCTCGGTACGAAAAATGTGAAATGTTATACGCCCAAAAAGTCATTACTGTCAGATTAAGTCAATGTTCTCCTTGGGCAACTCTTTAAAGTTAGGCTTAAATGCTTAATAACTAAAACCGATGATGATTGATGTTGGAGGGAATGTGTTTAATGTTTTCTGATGAATATTGGATTTTCTGAACTTTGCTAGGATGAGAGAAAGATAATAAATTAAAATTATTAGAGTTTCAACAATTACAAATCATGAAAAAAAATCCACATTTCGACAGAATAAGAGTGAGACAATTCGTGATATAAAAATTTGTCAAATTTATTGGAGGTATATTGCACGCCTTACTATTTTGTGTCTCCCTAATATTGTTACAATTTTTTCTATTCCATACTGTACTTGTGTACGTAGTTTTGTGAGACTCTTTACCTGCTTGAGTACAAAATAAAGATCAATGATGATAAGAACTCACTTTACTTGGCAATAATGAACTCAGATCCTGGACGTTCTGATGAATGTCTTGTCATTGAAAGATGATTATTATCAAGCTACTAAACAGTCCTATGATTTCAACTCGATAGAATCGGCTATAGCAGCTTTGGTCAATTATGATCATGATTATCCTCTGTTATAAAAGGGCTCAAGAAAAACTACAAATCCTAGTAATTTAATTATTACTAAAATGACTATTTGCAATAGGGCTTTTTAGAGCTTTTACTGTTTAGTTCATGCTTTTGTTCTACCCTTTTAGACTGATTGAACAATGTAAAATGTGAGCAGATCTCTTTTTATCCTTTTTTTAACCCTTCGGCCATGCCCTCCCAGTAAAAAGTGAAACCGTGTTTCAACAGTAAAAAGTTAACAGGTGAACTTTGGCTGAAAAAAAAACACTTCCAAGCTGTACTATAGGTTAAAAAATGCTACATGAAACATCAACTTCATTCTGTTACTTAAATGCAATAAATAATAGTGAGAATATTGAGAGGGATGTAATGTAAAAGCCTATTCTCTCTGCATGCCTAGCTTCATATGTATGGTCTAATTGTATATCACCAAAATATAGCCTCACATGCTACTGTATTTAGTTTCTTGTGGTCCTTTTTAGTCCTCTTCCAATCTATTATTCCTCCCCCAATTGTGGTCCTCTTGTGCTCCATTACAATTGAATCTTAGTGTAGGTATCATAAATTAAGTTATACTAAACGAAAACCAGACTAATTGGTTGAGTAATTCGGTTTTGCAACAGTAAATCAGATTATCGTGTCAAAAATCGTCCACTTTAATAACATTGTTACCCTAAAAATTTTTTTGCAGTTCAACTCCGCAAGTGTGCTAATTGGTTGCCTTGATGAAAAAAATACTTTGATTTTATAAGAAATCCAAGATTAAGTGGTAATAAAATGTAATCTGTAATTTCTGTATAACTACTATTACCGTTAGAGTTTCATGTCAACTATATAAATATATACCCGAAATGTATCAATACAACGTGTGTTTTCACCGTCTCTTTATGGATGAAATCAAGTTATTGGGAATCAAGTTACTTAAACTCGAGATTGATTGCGTACATCATAGTGGATTAATGAATAATGTTATTGGGACAGCATAATGTCTGTTTCGTTGGGCTAGTACCGTCACTGGCTGGTAAAATCAAGTGAGTCCAGTCACAGTAACAGTAAATATCGATGCAATGATATCCACCGTAACCTTCGTCATGGCATCTAATAGCACAAGGCAGATCACAAATTCTGTCTACTCTTTTGGCCTTCACCATTATCATCATCCTGCTACTCTTCTCCATTTCTGCTCATGTTCATGTTATCCCCAAGAAAAAAGGGGGAAAAAAAGAAGAAGACAGTAAACAGTTAAAAAAAAAAAGAAGAGAAAAAGTCAAATAATAACTTGAAAGAAAACAAAGGAAAAAACAAAACGAACCATCGTTTGAGCGGAGCACCATGAAGATGAAACAAACCAAAAGGAAGTTCTTACACTGGGTCTTCATCATACTTTGCTGATTTAGTTCGTGTGAACTGTGAAGAGGGATGTATTGTATTATGCGTCTCTCAAATTTTTGTTTGCTTAAATTAACAAGCATTATATATACGTGAGTTTTTATTTTGTTTTACCTATATCTTAACTCATTTTGTAGAGACGGCAGATATATCTTACTCATCTGTTGAGATATTCTTACGTTTGTTCCACATAAACTGAGAAATTTTGTTACACTGACACAATATGTGTTGACACGAAATTGGAAGCAAATAACCATATTTGTTTCGATTTTCACACAAATGGAATGACTTTCTCGAACTGATTTTCAACTTTTGGAAAAATTTGATGGATTTAGTAGCATTTGTCACCAACATAATTAGTCAAATATATATACAATATAAGTTGGGTAACTATCTACAATTTGTGTCCAAAATTGAATTAAAAGCAAAACCAAAAAAGAATTCTGTTTTTTTTCTTTTTAATGAATGAAGCAGGCCTTATTGCCTCTACTAAATCTTTTCTTAGCCCAAAAAATCACGGTGACCCAAACTGAAGCCCATTTTAGTCTGCATTTTGCAGGCTTTGCAGCCTTAACCTCGCCTTTCTTTCCCTGAAAGTTGACCGGAAAAGAAACAGGGAAGGACGAAGACGGAAGCTTGAGGCCGGAGGAGATCAAAGGGACAGTTGGGGAAATAATCGAACCTCATCAATCGGTAACTTCATCCTCACGGAAAAACGGTAAACATTACTTCTTCTTGCCCGGATTTTTCCCTTTTCACTAATTTTGGGAGTTATTTTCTAGCGGACTGTTATTTTGCTATTCTGTGTTTTAAATTTTTAGCTATTCTGTGTTTTAAATTTTTAGCATCTGCGTTGCTCATCTTCTCGACAAAGTTATGTACTTCTCAAGGTTTATATTTTCCACAGTTTAAAATAGAATGGAAAAGTGGAAACTGATTGATTGTCATTGATCATGTTAATGCAAATTTGTTGGAGTTTTGTGGGTTTCTCTCTTCAATTGATATTTGATTCATTTGGATGGGTCAATTTTTGTTGATGAATTCCATTTTTTTCAGCAAATTTCACTTTGATGTATTTAAATGGATTACTTTAGTTTTGCTTGCTAATTTCAATCTTTGTCAAATTTATTTCCCAGAAACTTACACTAGGATTGGCTACTCTTTGTTTAGTCTGGTATAGATGATAAGAATGGTTTTGTCAGGAATGGCTATCTATCGAGTTGCATCTAGGTTGCCATGGTCCAAAAGGTTCTTCAGCAGTGATAACCGCTTTGGTGTTGATAAAGCTGTGGCGGAGCTCAATAAGGTATCATCATTTTCTCTGTAGTTAATGGTTACTGTTTCAGGATGTTATTGATATTGTGAGCAGTGACAGTGCATCATCCAAGACTTATGATCTTATATAGGGGACCCCATAGAGGTGCATAAACTAAGTTGTGTTTGCTGTTGTATTGGTTTTTGGAAAATCACGGGATAATTGAAGCGCTCATAAAATGAGAGTTGGGATCTAACCAGAAAAGAACCGTAATTGTTTCTGCCAATTAGTTTGCGTAATCGAATAACAGATTATTGAATGCCTTATATGCTTATCTACACCAGGAAATGGAATTTGTATTCGGAGACCCTCCACCTTCTAGTTTGGCTGGTTCTGGCTACAACCCTGCTATGAGGGCTACTTTACATAACTCCCACGATCAAGAACAAGAATTTGTTGAAAATACGTATGGTTCTACCTTGACTCATGTTGACAGCAAAGGTGAAGCACAAATGGTTGATGTGTCTCTTAAAGAAATAAGCAAGAGGGTTGCTCGTGCTAGCTGCAAAGTCTTACTAGGGAAGGAAGTGTTTAGTTTGGTCTCAGCCAACCAGATAGAAAAAGGGGATGTCCTAAGTGTGGCGAAAATTGCTGGCATCTGTGGAGCAAAACAAACAAGCAGCCTTATTCCACTATGTCACAACATCAACTTGACTAATGTCCATGTTGATTTGTCTCTGAACCCTGTGGATTTTAGTGTCGATATAGAAGGTGAAGCTGCTTCGACAGGAAAAACAGGTGTAGAGATGGAAGCTCTGACCGCTGTTTCTGTTGCTGGGCTAACCGTGTATGATATGTGCAAAGCTGCTTCAAAGCATATTCAGATTACTAATGTACAACTTGAGCATAAAACTGGAGGAAAAAGTGGAGAATGGAGCAGACAAAATTCATGAAGGTTAGTGTTTTAGCGTAGTTCTACAATTTGTCAGGGCATGTAAATGTTTTCTTATGCTTAATGTTAGATGCATACAAGCGGTGCTATTATCTTATTTTCATCAGCAGTCTGTCATACTGAAATTCTCTCGCCGGTTGACGTTTACTGATGGGTTTACTTATGAAGAAATCTCTGCATGCTTGCGCTTGACAATTAACTACAGCTAGCATTGAACAGTGTCGGGGTGATGAACCAAATGAAGTTTGAAGATAAATCTCTTCGTTCCGTTTGAAAAGTTGGTGACCGGTGCAAAGCACCGTCACCCTGGCCCTGGCACCTTGAAATTCTAGAGTTGACTCTTCTCTTGGTGCAGTTGTTGGAGATAACTTTCAATGTGTCAAACGGAATGCTGTTAGAAAATCTTCACAATGTGCCGCATTTTCTATCGAGTTCTTTTACTAGGAAACATCCTTCTTGAACGTGCTGGCAAACACCGTCTTCCCAACTCCGTCCTACCGACTGGCCGAGGGACTTGGTCAAAACTTATTTGAAAGCCCGAAATGCTAATGCTTTGTTTTCATGGCGCTTTGGTCTAAAAGTTGAAGTTAGAAAAGTTTACTTTGAAGTTTGAACTTCACCAAACTCAGCTGGACAACATGATTAATGCAAAATTTTGGTATTAAATTTAGAGAATTATATGTTGCCTGTTTTGACTTTGATGTATTCTTTAATTGGAGTAAAATGAACTGGTGATCAAATTAAGGAAGAAAACCTATTCAAATCGAAGCAGAAAAATAAATCTTCTACTCTCAAATTTACTAACCAATCGATTGATTTTAACATCTTAAACCTCATTTTGGCCTGCAAGTTTCATCCTTTTGATGACGCTCTCAGATATGCATGCTTTGAGATATTGTCAAAAGCGGCAAAAAGCATAAAGACGGTGCTTTGAAAAAGGATCTTAACGCCGCCCAATTCTATTACTGCTTCACAATGCCTTTCCATATGGAACAAACTATACCATGTCCAAGCCCCCGTGTGCTCATGGTTTTTTTTTTACTGGAAGAAAAATGGGAAAGAAAAAAGGACATCCATTCCATTTGTCATGTTTTACAAGAGAGATGTAGATTGCTTGAAGCATGAAGTAAGTAAGATGTTTGCTGATTAAAAATATGGATGAGCATTACTACATGTATTACTACGTATTACAACCACGTACTAAGACGTATCTCTATTACAAAATACAAGATAGATATTTCGGAACGGATAAAATTTTCTGAGTCGTGGCTCGTGACTTCCTAAATTATGTTATGATAAGTTATTTATCACGGTTATCTGAAATTTACTTGGACTGGACCAATTCATATTCAAAGTCCTCAAGTCACCACCACTCAACATATTGGCTTAGCTGTGGATTTCGAATGTCGGTCTCAGGCCGTCAATTACCGTATATTTCTCCTCGTTTTCTCGTCAACGGTCCTGATGTCTCCTCTTCTTCCCTTCTTAAGGTTTTTTTTTTTTTTTTTTTTTTTTTCCCCTTGTTTCTTATTTTAATCAAAGTTTTCCTTCATTTTTCTGCCACTTGTCCGACCCATTGCCCTGCTACGAAGTTGTGTGACGTTTACCGGCAATTTTTTCTTTTACTTTATATTCCGACACCGCTAATAATAATAGTCAACTATTGAAAAAGGGAAATGTTGTTCTTGAATTTATAACAATATTGCAATGCTGTTACAATTGTTTTTCAACAAAATGAGGTAGTAAGATTATTAGATTAATCACAAATGGTACAACAATAGACACAAGTTCTAAGACGTGACAATCTCACAATTTATTTGCTAATCAATCGTTATAAACTATCTGTGTAAATTTCAACATAACTATCACAATCGTTTTAGGTTTAAGAAAAAAAAAATTTAAGTATTACATCCAGAAGGATCAGACCGGCCGGATAAGTGATTTGTTCTCATCAACTTCGCACGCAAGAAAATCTAGAGAATCTAGTTTTTTTCACATTATAGCTTCCATATCTCAGGAAAATAATTTTTTGAGTACTCCCTCCGTTCCAAAATAAGTGTCATTCTAAAGTTTGCACATAATTTAAGAAAACATTAAATAATGTAACTAAATTACTAGAATATCCTCAACCAACCCCATTAAAATAAATACTCATCAATAATATTATTTCTTTTGAGGGTATGTTTGGAAATTTTTGACAAAAAATGCATTAGAATCTGAAAACGATACTTATTTTGGAATTTCTCCATTTTGCCAAAACGACACTTATTTTAGGATGGAGGGAGGACACAATTAACCAAATAAAGAGTAGAAGCCCGACAATTAATAAACTTCTACAGCTGGTAGAAGCGTGTTTGCCTTGTCGATAAAATAAACGAATTCTTTACATACAATCAATGCGTAGGAGGGTTATTTTTTTATTTTTCCGTAAATTATTATGCACCGAGAGTTCGAATCCATTGTTTTTGCTAATAATAAATTCAACATATACTACAGGAATGAAGAAGCTAGCTGGCTTGTTAATGACGTTAAATTGCATGTGAATTAATGAAACAGAGTCCCCTGGAATTCGTTAGTTTTTCCTCTACCAAATATAGTAGTCGTACATCTCTTTTTATTTCATGAAATCTTGCATCATTTCATGAACAAGGCAACAAGCCAGCATATCCAGTTGGAAAAGTATTTTGCCAATCAACTTCTCCAATGATCGATCATCATAGAATATAAATTGACCAATAGAAGCAAATCAGATTAATGTATATGATCATTATCACTTGTTTAATGATTTTTTTTTTTAATTTTTTCAGCATGATTTCTTAGTCCAGAGTTGATTTTGTTTTAAATGATATTTAATACGGTTGAGTTTTCAAATTCCAATCCATAATAAATTACTAATCGGTTGCCAAATCAAAATTGAGTCTTCAATGTATATCTAAATCGTGGAAATTGAACCAGATCATGTTAACTAATTAGCCCGGGTGACGACCAACAGAAGAAGTTTGAACTTTGAATATGCTGATTTGGAAATTGAAGAAATGGTAATCCGAAAGTGTCAGAGAAAATTAGTTATGGCGAGTCCATGGAGATACTCCTTCGGTCCTTAATATAAGACGTTTAATTTGTCATAGGTTTCACATAGTATGTATTTTTAATTGACAAAAAAAATCTTAAAAACATTTCATAACAATTAAGAAACACAACGAATATGAAAATATATTTTTAAGCTTTTTTCTTCGATTAAAAATGCGTATTAGTTGGAACATAAGATAAATCAAAATATTTTATATTAATAAGGATCGGAGGGAGTACTATTTTAATAAAAATAAACGGTGAGTTGTGATTACTTAGCCTAGAGGAACAAGTTTTCGAACTAAATAAGTAAATATTGTAATCAAAATTACCGTATACGGATCTTCTGTATATTATGTAGTTTGAATTAAAATGTACAATGTGCATATGTGGTATGCATCTGCCATTAATTAAACAAATAAGAATAGGGTTTAGGATTAGCCGGCATTTCACGAGTGAACAATATATGTCACAGCACATATTGATTTCTTTAGGCAGCCGTTGACATCCAAACTTCAAAATGGGGTCCTTTCATCCTCCTCTTGCGTGAGGTTCACTTCTCGTCTCTTTCCTAGACTTTTACATCTCAAATCCACTCTATTTTTTTTTTCTCCGGATGACCAATATATATATATAAACATCATCATGCACACCATTCATTCTTCCCATACAATTTTCTTTCCATTCATTCATATGTTTTTTTTAAAAAAACCCTACTAAAAAATCCTTCAACAAGACCATTCTATTTTTTCATCTTCTTTTTCTTCTTCATCATCTAAAAGAATGGTAACTTCTTATAGAAATTTGTATATTTTATTCCTTCTGTTCTTGGTTATCGGGTCAAGCTTTGCAACCAGACCAGGGAGGACATTACTGAGGGAGAAAGATGATCAAGTTTCAAGAAGCACTCCAATGACAACCAAGGAGATTTTGAAGATTTATCAAGACAAGTATCTAAGAGGAGGTATGGTGTTCAATATGCTTCCAAAAGGGGCTCCAATCTCTCCTTCTGGTCCATCTAAGAGGCACAATCTTGAGATTTCAAGCACAACCCGGAATTGAAGAAAATTCAGTTTGTGGGTTTTATTAATTAGTATTGACATATATACTTTTTGATAAAAAAAATTTGTTGTTTCTTTTATAGGTTGATGATATGAAACATCTCTCATGCATATTTTATGAGAGATTAGAGAGATTGATTTAGTTTTCCGGACCTAACATATTCATCTATATAGATATTTTAGTTAGGCTGGTTGTCTTTTTTACATGTTATGAAAACATTATTTACACACACTGTAAATATATACATAAATACACACAGCAATTGTATTTGATGATATACATATATATGATACTCTCAAAAGAAAGTTTGACATTCATTTGATTGTTCTTTTCTGTATGTATGGATTGATTATAATGTTATGACTTATGACCAGTTCTCCACTAATTACCTACTCCCTGTAGACTAGATCGTATCATACCTATGATTTTTGGTACATCCTCTTTAGTTTTTCAAACTTCTGAATTATTTGCGTTGAAATTCTGTCAAATGATCGGAGTTTTGTTTGGTGGAGGGAATGAGATTTGTGGGGTTTGTAGGCGGCTGAATATGTCAATTTCCGGAACCAACACTAGTTACCTTTTCAAGGGGTCATCAGGCTGGCTTTGAGTTTGAGCCCCCAATTGTGTTTGTGTGTGTGTGTGTGTGTGTGTGTGTGTGTGTGTGTGTGTTCCATCTTCTTCTTTCTTTCTATGTTTAGTGAAAGACACGAGAGGGAATTGCTGCTACACAGTTGCATTTACAGTTCATTCTCCATCGTCAAGGTCCACAATAAGGTAAAATTGTTTAGGACCCTCTTTTGGTTGGAAAGGTTTCTGCCAAAAGTGCACTTTTTATTACCTATGGAAAATAATTGATTCATTCAAATCTAG